CATTTCACGGGGCCCCTTGGCTCCTGATGGAAAGGAAAGGGGTTTGGGAAGGGAGGGAGGGGGGCAGGGAGCGAGCCCCACCCCCGAGCCTCATACAACCTGGCACCCCCCTTCCCCCAATCTCCGGGCCCCTTTCTTCTGCCACAATGGGTCCGGCTCCACTTGGGTGGTCTCGGCCCTTCGCGTTCCTGCGCAGCCGCGTCCGTCCAGGCCCACCGGCCAGCCACCCCCAGCAGTGTGGCCTCTCTTCTGCAGCCCCCTCCCTCTGCAGCCCCTCTTCTTTCGCAGAGCAGAACAAAACCTTGGACAGCGGTCAGGCTTTGGAACCACACTGATCTCTTTGTCACCTTCCTCCCCAAAAGAGACAGATTTGTCCCTGGGGGGTGAAGGAAAAGGGCCTTCCAGGGCCCCCTCTCTAATCTCTCTTCAAAGCCCTGGGAGGGCAGCCACCCCCAGAGGGAGGTGGGTCTTTCGCACGCCAGCCAACACCCCCTCCAAAAGTCCCCTTTCCTGCTCCCCCCCAGCAGAGCCTTGGCCGGGCCTCGGGGGTCAGTCCCCCTTTGCCGCTCGTGGCTCCCTTCCCTGGCAGCTTGCTTGGGCCGAGGTGGCCAGGAGAAGGCGTGAATCGGCCTCCAAGAAGCCCGGGGGCCTCATGGGACAGGGCCCCATTCACACAATCCAGTCCCCAACACGTTTCCCTTTCAAGGCTTCGGAAGGGAGTTGCTGGCCCGCTTGACTGTAACTCTTAGTGGGTACGAACTGCCAGAGGCACTCGTCTTCCTGCTCCTCTAGTAAATAAATCCAGGGTCTCACCAGGGACCGTGACCGGAATTTGGGGAGGAAGGAGGGTGGGAGGAGGTCTTCTACCCAAAAAACGGCCACAGGGATCTTGGGAGAATCCTTCCTGCTCCGGTGAAAATGGCCAGAGACTGTCCCTGTTTGGCCCTTGCGGCTCAGCCGATTCCTGGAGCTCCGTGGACCAGCCGCGCTGTTTTCTTGGCAGAAGCCCAGAAGAGGCTTGCTCTCGCCACGTCTAGGGCACAGGCTGGGATCTCCCGGTGGTCCCCCATCCAAGGCCCTGCTCAGATTTTTGAGATGCGCCAGGTGCCCTAGTGGCCTTCAAATGAAATTCAGCAGCTTCTGCAGGTATCTGTAAGAGACACAGTACTGTATTTTCCTCTATTCTCATTTGCAGAGTAACTTGTCTGAGGAAAAAGCCCTTTTTCTTTCTTTTTTCCAGGGAAATATATTATGATTACTGAAATCCACCCTCCCATTCAATAAAAAAAAAAAAAGGAAGGCCACAAGGGACGCTGGCCCAGCCCACTGAGAGGCCCCGCCGGGGACTGAGCTGGGGCAGGCAGGCATCCCCCGCCTGGGCTCCCGTTGCTTTGTGAGTTGGGACCCCCCAGGGGACTTTTTTCCTTCCACTGCTGTTTCTTCGGGGTGAAAAACCACCCCATAAAACAAGTGGGGAGAAGACAAGCCGAATCCAAACTTTTCTGAGGGGGGAACCGTCCGCGGCTTCCAGAGGAGGCCCCCGGGGCGCCCCCCCAGACCGTCCCGCCCTCCTTCCGCTGCCCCTTCGGACGGCGCAAACGGCCTCGGGGGCAGCCCTGGGCGGAGGGGCTCCGGGCTGCGCGGGGATGCAGGGGGCCGCCCCGGCGCCTCTCCCTCCGCTGGGGCGCGGGACCCCTTCGGACAGGGAGCTGCCCGGTTGCCCGAAGCGGGGCGCGCCCGGAGCGCGGCTCTGCCCGCCGGGATCGCGCCGT